AATATTTTTGTATATTTCTCCAATTTAATTTTTGTGATTAATTGGATAGCGTTATTAATGTTTTTTCTTTCTTTTATTGATATCATTGTTATTGCTATTGGGTTCTGTGTTATATCAAAGCAATTAATCTGTTGAGTTTTACAGGTTGGATACTTTAAGTTTGGAAAATTGAAGTTTGGAAAATTGAAGTTCTCTGATGAGTTTTTTGAGTCAATTGAAATTTGGAAAAAGAGTCCTGAACAATTAACGTCACCTTTCAAAAAGCTTCAATATCTAGAAGTTAGAAATTGTATCAGTTTAAGCTACCTTCTAACTCCTCCCATGGCATTGAGCCTTGTGCAACTCAAGGACTTGAAGGTAAAAGACTGTGCAACAATGGAACAAGTGATAATGGTTACAGGAGTTGAGGAGGAAGACTTAATATTATTCCCACAACTAAAGTCCCTTTCGCTAGAGTCTTGCTCCAACTTGTCAAAGTTCTATGTGGGAAGTAATACCCTCAAGCTTCCAATGTTGAAGAAAATTACAGTAAAGGACTGTCTAAAGATGGCTAGATTTGCTTCCAAACTTGCAAGCAAGAAAGAGAAAAAGACAGCTGATGGAAGAAGTGAGGAAACTCTTGTCAAGGATATCTCTATTAAGGCCTTTTTCTGTGATGAGGTGAGTTTTATTTTTATTTTTTACAGAATTTCTTCACAAATTTGACAAGGACAAGACTTCACTACTGTAATTCTTTCGTAGAGTATAATTTCCACTCTAATTCTTCACTTCGATAACTATGAACATAAAATGTATTTGATGCGTAAAGGTCAAAAGCCGTAGCGAGTATAAAAACCTATGTATTGTCATTCCTCTTCAACTAAACCTCTCTAATTCATCAAAATTTATATCATATGAAATTCTAGTTCATGCTTCCATGTCATTCCTACACATTTTTTTGATTCAAGAATAAAAGTTTTAATGAAATTGAAACTTCTTTGCAGGTTAAGATTCCTATCTTGGAGACATTGACTCTGTCCTCAATCAATATAAAGCAAATATGGAACAATCAACTTTCATCAACATCTTCATTTGCTCAACACTTAACAAAGTTGAAGGTGATCAACTGTTCCAATTTGAAGTATCTCTTTACATTCTCAATGGTTAAAAGTTTCGTGCAACTTAAAGAACTTGGGATTAGTGGATGTGAGATGATGGAAGTGGTAATACTGATAGAAGGGACGATAAAAGAAGAACAGATTTCCCAGACGGTGTTCCCTGAACTAAAGACCTTGGCACTTAATAACCTACCCCAACTTGCAACATTTTGCTCTAATTGTGATTCTCTAGGAAAAATTTCTGATTCTGAAAGAGTCAATATTGGTATTGAATCACAAAAATTGCTAGCCACACAATCGACTTTGGTGGAAACAAAAGCCACTAGAGTTGTATTTTCTCAAGTGACAGGCCTGATACTTAGACTCTTACCAAAATTCAAGAGTTTCTTCCCTCAATCACACATCACAGAATGGCCATCATTGAAAAATTTAGCCTTGATTGAATGTCATGGAGCGCAAATAGTTGCTTCAGAATCTTTAGGCATTGAGATGACAGATGGAGACAACCAACTTGAAAGAGAATCTCAACCTCTCTTGTTTTGGATTAGCAAGGTACGTAAAATCAAGTCCAAAAGGAAAAAAATGCGCATATCTTATACAGATACATGCTGTTCAGTTTTGTTCTTACACTAAATGAAGGAAAGAAAATAGGAAAAGTAATATATGAAGACAAAATAAAGCAAATTTTCTACTTGTTTTTCTTGTGCACTAATTTAATTTTATTTTGAAGATAAAGAAGTAAATTCACCAGAACTTGTTAAAAAGTCATCTCTACCTTGTTTTGAATTTCTACAAGCAGAGATTGATTACCCTGATTTAAAAAATGTCTTGCTCTCATATTTTCTACCATCCAACTTAAATCTTAAGGATGCTAACTAAAATTTTGTTATCCTAATCCTATATCGGGAGTAGGCTCTATGTAAATTTAACTTCTAGCCATCATGAGAAATAAAAAATTATTTTTTTGAAAATGTTTTCTTTTTCATTTTAGTACTTGAGTCTTTCGTCTAGCTTAAATGAATAATAGTTTGCAAATTAAGAAAATTTCTTACAAGGATATTCTGCAAGTTAACCTATATGATTATATAATTAAAGATTTTTACATAGCAATCACCTAAATAATAATTTATTATTTCTTGAAACTGGAGTGATAGAAAAATGGAAGAATTGCGAAAACAAAACAATAATAAAGAAAGAAAAAAAAGATGCGTTTATGTGAGATGAAGTGATTTTTCAATGGCAAAAAAATGTGGAAATCAATTTTTATGGTTAGAAATAAGCGTAAAAGAATTATTGTTTTTTCCCAAAATCAAGATTTATTGTATAACTTTGAAATGACAAATTTATCTAAGAATAATAGATTTATTTAAAGTTTGGATTGTCTTCTAATTAACTCCTGTCAATTTCTCAGGCTACATTTCCTAGTCTCGAACGGCTGGTTGTGAAATGGAATGACAATATAAAGATACAGTGTGGAAATCATCCAGAGGAGTATTTTGGTAAACTAAAAGTTCTGCACCTCCTCGGTTTTCCTAAGCAATCGGCTTTTCTTCTGCCTTTCTTCTTCCACTCCCTGCCCAATCTGAAAAAGCTTATCGTGAAGGATGCTTTCTTCGATGAAATATTCCAATGTGAAGAAGTTACTGGTGAGGAAAAACCTGTATGTGGACGCACTCCATTAAGAAATTTAAGATTGTCCAAACTTCATGAGCTAACACATCTTTGGAAGGAAGAATCCCAACTTGAAGTAGACATTCTCAGAAACCTAGAAACTCTAAAAGTGCAGGAATGTAGCAGATTGAAGAATTTAGTTCCCTCCACTGTATATTTCGACAATTTGCAGACTCTAGTAGTATCTGAGTGTCATGGACTTGTCAATTTAGTGAGATACTCAACAGCAAAAAGCTTGAGGCAGCTCTATGAAATGAAAGTAGCCAATTGTGAGATGATAGAAGAAATTGTCGTATGTTCGGGTGATACTGTGAAGGATCGCATTGTTTTCACCAATTTGACTTGTTTGCAACTTAAAGGTCTACCCAGACTAGAAAGCTTCTGCTCGGGGGATTGCGACTTTAAATTCCCAGCTTTGAGAGAGGTATTTATTACAGAGTGTCCAAATATGCAGATTTTCTCTAAGGAGCTGAGCACACCAAGACTGTCTGAAGTGAAATTGACAGGAGATATATATGAATATTGGGATGAAGATATAGAGAAAGAAATAGATGATAATTTTAATAAAGATGAAGGCGGCGTAGAAGTTGTCAGAGATGAAGATATTGAAAGATGCTGGGTAGGGAACCTTAACAGCACTGTACAACAGTTGTTTAAGGAAAAGGTATGTAGTGATGAATTCAAAAACTTCCTCATGTTTATTTTCACCTTTTTAAGCTTTTGTTTAACCTTTTCTTTAATCATTAGTAAAGAACATGGTCAAATTAATTAAAGAATCACCTAAATTATGTTTTGCATTTATTTAAATAGTGTCCACTTCTTCTAATGATTTTCAAAACATGTCTAGATATGATTAATGGATTAGAGTGCAAGGTCATGGTAATTTGATGAACTTCTTTTTCTTTTAATTTGCTATGCAAATCAAGGAAGCACTTTCAGTTATACACCTTTTTACTGCAGTTTTTGCTTTCCCCTTTCAACAAGTTATTTTGATGGTTACAGCGTGCTCATAATTCCAAAAAGGGCATTGGAGAAAACAGTGATCATGGCACTCAAGAGGATGGTAATTAATGGCTATGAACAAGATTGGAATTTTAGGTGATGTTTCTATCTCTATATATGAGATTATTCATGGTCATTGTGAACTTGGTCTTGTTATATATAATTGACATCTTAAGCATAATCCTTAGAAATCTTTCTATACAAGCATATCATATCTTTCTTATAGTGTGTATGAGAGAACCCTGAGTCTTATTCTTTTTACTTCAATGTTTCTTAAAAAAAAAAAAAAAAAAAAAAGAAAAGAAAAGAAAGAAAGAGCTTGTTATCCATGTGTTAGTCCTATTCTTGCTTTTTGCACCATTAATTAATATATGTTGTCCTTATGGTTACGGAATGCCTAATTAAGATTTGAAGAAAGCATTAGTAGTTATTCTGAAAAGGATAATGTTAATGGTGCTGAAGATGGGTGCAATGGATTCTAAGGTGATTGGGCTTCTACTTCAATCATCTACACTTGTCTCATTTACCTTTCCATTCATATGGATGGTGCACTCTTTATTTTATCTTATAATCATTTTATATGTATTAATGATGATTTCTTATTTCCTTGTAGGTTTTAATTGCCCACTCACAAGAAGCTAGATTTTTGTGCTACCAAGTTCCCAAGTTGTTTTGGCACTAAAAAGAATCTTTTAATTTCTTAAATTCATGTGTTACATGATTATCAAGTAGTTAATTCTGGAAACCACTAGAGACCATTTCATTTCATTTTATTTTTCTTGTTGTGTTTGTTTTATTGTGTGAAAGAGAACATTTGAATTTGTTGTGTACCTTTATTAAAAAAAGAGATGTGATTTGTGCACCAATCATGTCATCCATCTTAATTTACATTTAAATGGATTCTAGTTTTGTTTTCATTCAAGATCAGAGACAATAGAAGGTTAATTTAGGCTTTGTTAAGTGTCATTGTGGTTATTGGTTTTATAAATTTTACAATTTGAAACAAAAAAAACTTATTTAGTTTTATCTGTTTTTGCAATATACTTTTATGATTATTAGAAAAATAAAAACAAAAATAGTTTTAGTACTATTAAAGTTCATATTTTTAGTTAAAACATAATGACAACCAGATACACTCAATCTGAAAGGGAAGTTCATATTTATTTATTTTTTATTTTTTACCTTTTTTGTTGAATCCTATACGAGGTCTGCATTTGGGTGTTGTTCGAGCTTGATAAACTCTTTGTATTACATCATAGGCGGAGTCTAGGGGAAGTACCAGGTGGTATCCCCTGACGTTGAGCTTCTCTGAAAAGGGAACATTACAGCCGGTTCAAACTATAGTTTACTCAGCTAGTGAAGGGATGGAATTATGCTGAGATTGTAGGGGATGTAGATCACATACACATTACTTTATAGCATATCATGCCTTTCAAATTGTTCATATTCCGGGACACAGGACCAGAATGAGACCGAGTTTGCAAATGGGCAACTAAAAAAGGTGCTAAAGAACCTGAATTTTTTCCTTGATCCTAGTTAGTTCTTTTGTAAGAATACGTTTAATCGTAGCGGAGTAAGTGTATTTGCAGTTTCTTTTTCAAGTAAATCTATCATAGCAATCTCAGTGCTCTGTTAGATAAACTACACTTTTCTGATGTAATCTTGATGTATTTGGTTGAATATATATCTGTCAACCAATACTTTGTCTAAGAATCTGAAAAATGAATCAATTATAGAGTTCTATGCAGTTATAAAACTAACAAGCCATTTCCAGAATTCTCCTTTCATTTTAGGTTCACATTTGTTTGTCTTTTACAAAAAGGAAGAGTTTGTTTGGACTAAATGAAATGAATTAATAGTTTGGTTTGGGCAGAGGCGAGGGAAAATAATTAAAACCAATCAAATTATTTTGCTGGCCCACAACTTAATTTGATTAGTGGAACCCTTCCCCCTTCCCCCTTCCCTTCCGTCTGTTACTCTCAAACCAAGCAGACTAAAGGAAAATGAGACACCTTACTTTATTTAGATATGAGAAATTGGGGAGTGAAGGAATTTTATTTGGTTAAAAAGAGAAATTGGAGAGGAGGGAATAAATTCTAAGATCCATTCAATTGCTTAACAACTTACTATAACGCTCTCAAAGCCAAAAACAACAATTCAAACCTCAAACTGCCATGCATCCAGCCTTGTATTAATTTTCATTTAGTCATTTTAGATAACTTTAGTCATTTTCAACTGGAATAGCAATATATATACCTGATAATATCAAAGCCAAGTCACAACACAAGTAACAAAGACACTCTTAATTAAACATGTTGATATGTCCACAGGAGGAACTCTCGAACTTACTGAGAAAAACATTAATTTGGACAAACACAAGCTATACCACTCCTATATGCGTTTACTTACCTAAGCAAGGCACCCATTCAAGAATTACCCAAGGGAACCCTTTTAAGTTTTATCTAGAGTGAATCAATCCAATACTCACCTAATGCCATGCTCAAGCTTGATGAACATAAAAACTTGAGCTCAATCTCCCACTCAAGCTCATTTCTTCTCTCAAAGTTGGTTTAAAAGAATCATAAAACCTTTAAATGAACTAGTCTTGGCTCTTTTTTAAGTGTACAAACTAATAGCATATTAACTTAACACAAATTCAACAAGCTAAAAAAATTATCAGAAAACAAAATTAATGATATATTGTTAAACAAGCATGGAATGGCTAATTCTCAGACCAAGCACTAAAATGTTTAAGTCAACTCACTAAACTAAGAGAAACCAAATACAAACTGGGGTTACTATTATTTTGAGTTCAACTTGTTGAGAGAAGCATGGCTTCTTACATCCATACATTTAACAAAATCCTGTTTGAAAACCATTCCACGAAGCAATTCAAAACTTTTCTAACCTATACCCTCTATTCCACATTTCCACTTTGAGAAAACTTACTTAAGGTAGTTAGATCTTTTTGAAAATAATGAAATTACCTACAGGTAGTTGAGTGAAGAATATGATAAGAAGCATACATAAAATCCAAACATGCATCAACTTGACATGTAAACAAGCACATATAGAATTACAAAAATGAACCAATAATGGTGGGAGACTCGTACACAAGTCCACGTGAAAATGAACTTTAAAAAACCATAAAAAAAGAGAAAAAAGTACCTGTGACAGTCATAATCCCTGCAACATTCCTTAGACCTTGAACATGACCTGTGGTGACTTCTAGAATCATAAGTCTGAGAGTGCACATAACCCCTACCACGTTCTAGATCATTGTACCTGTCACGATCTCTGCTCCTTCGATCATAATCCCTCCCTCAGTCATGACTATCAGCTTGGTCTCGGTCACAACTGGATTCTCTCTCATGATCTCTACTTCTTTCTTTTGATCTATGCACCACCAAAAAAAAAAAAAAAAA